AGTTCTTGAATGCGTGACTTCGATTTTGACATCCTTCATGAATTCAATTTGTGATGATAGCTTTTGACGACTATCAATCAATTTTGCATCGTATGCTTTGAAAAACTATAATCACTTGAATTTAACTTATTAGTAAACAAGATTAACTTATTTGTTTTAATCAAAGCATTAAAGTTACAATTTCCCTTGCGCCACCTCCTCAGCCCTGATCTCAATTGATCTGAATTTGATTAATTCAGATTTGGGGTTGAGGCACCGCCACCTCAGCCCCTGCCAACTGAACCCGTCTCCAAGCTCTGTTTGTGTAGTGCAGTTCTTAAGCACATGGTAAACAAAAGTAAGGGTGGTAATATTCACACCACAAATTTTTAAATAAATACACCACTTTTTAACTATATTAAATGTCATTAACCTTTATTCATTATCACACTTATCTATAACTTTTTTATTCATCACATTCTTATTTTTAACATTTCATTGATCAGAAAATCTTACCTTTAAATATGATTTTCATCCAAAAATATTATTAACATACTTTAAAATAAAGCTCAAATACTTAATAGCATTTTTCACTATTATTTGTTTTGTCCTTTAAAAATACAATGGACAAATATGTTTTTTTACTCTATCTTCAAGAAAAATTTGGAGAGAAACCATAATCAAGAGTAACTTATGTTAATTTGAGAATAAGAATGCAATAAAAAAATTTTGAGATATAAATGTAATATTTTGTACAAGTTATGAACCTTTCATGCAATTAAAATGTAATTTGGTTATTAAATATTGTTTTTTGGCATGGTGTTGCTGTTGTTGTTATTATTATTATTGTGACCTTTTAAAGTAATATTATTAAATATTTTTCTAATGCAATGTATTCACAATAAATAATTTAAATTCAATAAAATTAAACTAAGTCTCGAAATGTATAAAATTACAAATAAAATCATAGTCCTCATAGTAGAAAAATATATAAATAAATTGAAATTATCTTATTGGCATCATACTGACAGTAACTCGGTTTCTTAAAATCTCCATTTTCATATAATAATAAAATTATCAAATAAATTCAAATTATCTTTAACATGAACTATGGAATGGAAGATTAATTTGAATTGGAATACTAATAAACCTAGATATAAAATGAATTACATTAATTAATTATGGTTTACAATGATTTTTTAATAATAAGTAGAATGACTAAAAGTAAAGTTTGAGAAGTTGAAATTTAATTGATTCTCAAAATCAGGTATCTAATGGTATAGATTCTTTTAAAATAACTTTTTAATATTTACCAATGCCTAAGTTTTTGACAATCAAAAGATGTTTTCTTGAGGAAATGTTTTATCTCTTCTATTTTTTCCCCTTTTTCCGCCCCAGCCGCCTTCTCTATGTGCTCTAAATTTCTAAAATGAGTACCCCACACTATTAACCGTTGATGTCTCCAGTTAGAGTGCGTGGTTCAGTGTTGGGATGGACTCAATTAGTGGAATTAAATTAGGAGTCAAATTAATTTTAATGAAACAGATTTTAATATAAGAAGAAAATTACGTCAAATATAATACGAAAAGGACGAACGCTTTGAATCTACAATGCTTGGCACTGAGATGACGTGTATTCGGACAAAATAATTGTGTGCATCAAAATTTTGATAGTCTAGAAATAGAAAATGTGGAGAAAGAAACTAGAGAAACATGGTATATACGGGTATGCGTGATGTTGAACAATTTAGTTTTGTGGAAGTTGTGAGAGTAGAAAAAGTATTGTATTACGAGGTTTCCACAACTAATAAAACTTTCTTCCCTTGCAGTCATCCTCAGCAATTTGTTGAACCAAAATTTTAAATCCTTATTTTTTTTTTTTTTTTCCTTTTTTGTGGGGGGGGGGGGGGGGCATTAGGTAGGATTTTTGGGGTAAATTTCATTGGCGGTAATTATACTTTCACTCGATTTCAATTAGGTAAATATACATCAATTTTGTATAATCATGTAATTAACTTAATTTTAATTTGATTTCAATATAATAACTACTACTTATTCCCACACTTGGAATAAAAAAAAAAAATAATAAGTGACATAGAAGTTAATAAATGATGATCTCCATTTATTTTAATGAACTTGTACTTATTTTGCTCACTAGCTAGTGATTATGTGTAATCACCAACATTTATAGATTGTCCATCATGGATTATCGTTATTGAAAATTAGAAAAGAAAAAAAAGAAAAAAAGGGCTACCCTAACTGAAATTAAAATTATATTAAAATCTAATTATCGCGTTGACCAAAATTGAGATACATTTAAATGTCATATTTGAACACAAACTCAAAAAGTCATGAGAAGAGAATTCATACTCCATACGTAATTCTATTTCCACATTCTAATCAATTCAACCAAGTATTGAACCACTTGCATTCAGCTCGTTTGTCCCACTTTTCTCCATGTCAATTCGTGTAGTCATATTACAATTTATTATCCAACAAGAAAAACGTAAAGACATGATCTTGAAAAAATGTCTAGCCGCCCTAACAGAAAAATGGGGGTTGAATCAAGACGAATTGGATCACATCAGTGGAACTTTATTCGTACTTCCAATGGAAATTTAGTGGGAAAAAATTTCGATAACATGTGTTGGACAAAATCCAAGTCTATATATTCAAGTATTGTCGTTTCAAACATTTTAATTGTTGGAAAATTACACCGATAATTGTGCATATTATATTCACAATAAACATATCATTTATTTGCATGAAATCGAAACGTATTCCAATTTACTGAAATTGGATTTAATAAGGCAAGATGAGAATTTTCCGATTTTGAAGAATATGAATGTGGAACCTTCTCTTTCGATTCTTGAACGATTGAACCGATTTCGAAGAATATGAATCTTTCGATTCTTGAACGATTGAACCTTGCAATATAAACATATAAATTAGATTAATCATTTTCTGAAATCAAATCATAATAAAAGGAAATCAGAAAATGAGGATAAAGATGCAAGTGATGAATTTTTGGCCGAGGTAAGTATTGGACACTTTGTCCTTAAGATAAATTTGCCCCACATCGGTGCTAGCAGTTTTTCGGCAATCATCTCCTAAGATACAACGACCACGTCGAGCTATAGGAGCACTCCAAATGATTTCGACCAGTGAACTCGAACGGAATTCCCTCTCTACCATGACCATGACCATGACTTTGATGCAAATGTTTTATGCAAAACCAAAGTGTAAATTGGAATGAAATGATATGGTATTTATGACTTTTCTTGAATGAATAAAATCCAAACACATGGGGTCTATATATATAGTAGTTGGAAAGGGTATGTCAAAAGACACAACCATACCAAGAGACACATCTCTTGAAATTCATAATTATTGGACATTAATCATACCCATACCAAGAGTCATGATCTATCATACGAAAAACCACATTTTTTCGTTCATATATTTCTAGAATATTCCACAATATTCTATATGATTTTTCCAATAATTTTCAGTATTTAAGCGGTTTACATTTGGCTTAGTTTCTGATTCACCAAATAACGAATTCCACTTAAATAATCATTTAAAATTGGTCACAACCAATTTTCGATAAAAAAAATTCAATAATTTCCCACATGAATGAAAATTAATGCAAATGTCTATGCAGACCCTAGTAGAGAGAGAGCGGGAAAACACTGCACCAAGTAATGTAGCTTCTGACTTTGAACCTTCCCTAGTGAAATACCATCAGATTTACTAGCTAATTGGTGAACGTGATGTTCTTGAACCATCAACCGTTAGCATAAACCAAGACAACAGTACTCACACAATATCTCCCATAAACCGTTCATGGTTCTCATGACTTGGTTCATTTTGGCCCTGAACCCATCTTGGTTCTGTAAGTGTTTAAAAAATTCAAGCCTTGAATAATTCTCATTGAAGCGGCCCCACTTCACACTTACATAGGTGATCTCCTATTAAAAGTATTCTGCCCTACTCCACTTGACTTAATCAAGATATAGGAATCATTACAAGTTTCTCTTAACCTCCAATCACTCTGCAAAAAGTACTTTGGTATCATAGGAATGAGTTAGGAAATTAGTTTCCTAAGTGCTTCATAGAATCCCCCATAACTTAGTTGTCCCTTTAAACCAAGATCTTGGGATCTCTAGTCAGCATGTTAGGGTTACTTTATAAAGATCTTATTCAGTAGGCTTAATCGCATTCCCTTCGATGTGCAGTATACTTGATCTCTCGGTAAACATATATAAATGGATCCACACGTTTACACCAATGAGATCAACTGTTTATAGTATTATGTCTACGGCATACATGTTTAGACTTACCATTATATATGACTTAGTATCTTTTCAAATTTAGCTAGCCAACGATCGATTCATTTGATAGATACACATTGTCACCAACTAAGAAATCCTCAGTATCGCCTGTTTTTGGTACAGCAGTCCGTCAGTTCATTTCCAATGAACCCTGACACAATATTCATTTGGTACAGCAGGCAGTCAGTTCCTAGGTTTCATGATCACACAAAGAGATATTGAAGTGAACCCTGACAAAATACAAGCGATACTGGAAATGAAGAGCCCCACTAGTAAGAAGGAGGTCCAGTGGCTGACCGGGCATGTTGCGGCCCTAAACCGTTTTATGAGTCGAGCGGCAGATAGGTGCTACCATTTCTTTAAAGCCATATGGGGCTCTACAAATTTTGAGTGGACTCAAGAATGCGAAAAAATGCTGGAATCCTTGAAGAGGTCACTACAGCAACCTCCTATTCTGACCAGCCCATGCCCAAGAGACGTATTATGTCTCTACCTCGTGGTGTCACCCTGAGCTGTTAGCTCGATTTTTGTGAAAGAATTCCCGAAGGCACAAAAATCGATCTATTACATCATTTAAGTCCTCAAAGGGGCAGAGACAACGTATAGTCTGGCCGAACAGCTAGTGCTCGCATTGATTGTTGCAGCCAAGAAGTTAAGACCTTATTTTCAGTCCCATACAGTGCAAGTAATGATTGACCAACCCGTCAAACAAATCCTGCATCGACTAGAGACATCTGGGAGACTTCAGAAATGGGCAATTGAAATAAGTGAACTTGACATTGAATTTAAGCCTAGGATGGCCATCAAAGCACAAACTCTGGTAGACTTCATTGCTGAGCTCACCATTCCAACGGAGCCCTCGAAGGGGAAAAAGGCAGACTGGAAGGTTTTTGTAGATGGTTCCTCAAACGCAGAAGGATCAGGAGCAGGGATCATATTAATTGGACCAGACTCCGAAGAATTGGAATACTCACTGCACTTCGAGTTCCCCGCTACTAATAATGACGCCGAATATGAAGCAGTAATCAAAAGCTTCGGCCTAGCAGCTAGGCTGGGGGTATCTTTAGTAGAGGTTTGTTGTGACTCACAGTTGATAGTCGGGCAAGTGTCAGGGGAGTATGAGGCGAAAGATGGAAGGATGGCAGCATACCTGATGAAAGTAAGAGATCTGCAAAGAGGGCTTGCGAGCTTCAAGATAACGAAGGTCCCACGAAAGAATAACCAGCGGGCAGACGCACTGAAAAAGCTCGTGTCGGCCAACCCAAAAAACTTACCCCGGACAGCTAACGTACAAGTCCTACAACAACCTAGCATCCACTGCTGGGCTGAGGTGAAAAACGTTGAGTACGAAGAAAGCTGGATGGATCCATTAATCAAGTACCTCACAGAAGACAAAGTGCTAGAAAACCCCCTTGAGGCGAGGAGATTGAGAGCTCGAGCGGCTTCATTTACCATAATCAATGGGCAGTTTTACAAGCGAAGTTTCACCATGCCATATCTGAAATGCATACGACCCGTCGAAGCCAAGGAGATACTGATTGAAGTACATGCTGGGATTTGCGGTAACCACCAAGGGGCAACATCCCTTACCTTTAAGATTTTACGGCAACGTTACTATTGGCTGACCATGAAAGGAGACTCCAAAGAGTTGGTATGGAAATGCGATGCATGCCAACGCCACGGGAATTTAATCCATGTCCCAGCCGAACAGCAGGCAACCATCTTTGGGGTGTGCCTATTTTTCCAGTGGGGAATGGACATTTTAGGACCTCTGCCCAAGGCTAAGGGACAGAGAAAGTTTTTGCTGGTCGCCATTGACTACTTCACTAAGTGGGTGGAGGTAGAGCTATTGGCAACCATCATGACGGCAAAAATACAAGGATTTGTATGGAGAAGTATATTATGCCGGTTCGGGATACCCAAGGTGGTAGTGACAAATAACGGCAGACAATTCGATAATCATAGCTTCAAGACCTTTTGTGCAAGTTATCATATCGATCATAGACTGACCCTGGTCGCCACCCTCAATCAAATGGGCAAGTCGGGTAATGAACCGAGTCATTCTATGGGATTTGAAGACCAGACTAGAAAATGAGAAAGGGCTTGGGCAGATGAGTTGCCCAATGTGCTATGGGCGTATCACACAACTCTCCGAGAGCCGACCGGGGAGACACCATTCAGACTGACCTTTGGGATGGAAGCAGTAGTTCCAGTTGAGATCCTAAGCGAGACAGGAAGGATAAAAGTCAAGCAGCCCAACGATACAACGACTTGAGGAGAACTCGACCTACTTGAGGAAGTAAGGGAGAAGGCAGCAATAATAATGATGGCTTAAAAACGAAGAGCCGTCGAGTACTTCAACTAGAGAGTGAAGCCAAGAGTCTTCCATCCAGGAGATCTCGTGCTAAGGGATATAGCAGCGGTAGGACACCCTCCATCAAAGCTCGGTCCAAACTGGGAAGGCCCGTATGAAGTAATTCGTGGGCTGGGAAAGGGAGCTTACAGCTTGAAAGACATGAAAGGAAAGCCACTAGGTAGGCCGTGGAATGCAGAGCATTTCAAAAAATATTACCAGTAGATTTCAAAATAGATGCATCGGTTGTGCTTTTGTAAATACAGTAGAATAGGTTGTATTATTCATTCTCTCCATGTAATGCCTCACGAAGGTGCCCTTAGTTATAATAGCTTATCTTATTCAATGAAAGATCTTGGCAGTGGCGGATGATGCGGGCACTAAGGAAGGGCCAGCCTGGCTGGTACGTCTCGGTGCGCCTGCTGAGCTCACAAGTCCAATTATTCTTATGTACTAACATGCAGCCTTGAATCCCCTACACTCATCTCGCGAAGACACGTGGTCGACATAGCCTACGCGGCTAGGCGGAGAGCTTTGAAAAGCCAAAAAATTGGCTAAGGCCCTTAACCTCCCGACCCTCCTCCGGTGAAGATGCGTGGCCGACATAGCCTACGCAGCTAGGCGGAGAGCCTTAAAAACCTAAAAAATTGGCTAAGGCCCTTAACTGCCCGACCCTCTTCCTGTGAAGACTCGTGGTCAACATAGCCTACGCAATTAGGCGAAGAGCCTTGAAAAGCAAAAAAATTGGCTAAGAACCTTAACTGCCCGACCCCCCCTCCGTGAAGACGTGTGGTTGACATAGCTTATACAGCTAGGCAGAGAGCCTTGAAAAGTTAAAAAGCCCTTAACCGCCCAAAACTCCTCTCGTAAAGACGCGTGGTCGACATAGCCTACGCAACTAGGTGGAGAGCCTTGAAAAGTCAAAAAATTGGCTAAGGCCATTAACCGTCCGTACATCCTCCTGTGAAGACGCGTAATTGACATATCCTACGCAACTAGGTGGAGAGACTTGAAAAGTCAAAAAATTGGCTAAGGCCCTTAACCATCCGACCCTCTTTCCGTGAAGACGCGTGGTCAACATAGCCTACACGGCTAGGCGGAGAGCCTTGAAAAGCTAAAAAATTGGCTCAAGCCCTTAATCGCCCGACCCTCATCCCGTGAAGACGTTTGGTCAACATAGTGTACGTGGCTAGGCGGAGAGCTTTGAAAAGCCAAAAAATTAGCTAAGGCCCTTAACCGCCTGACCCTCCTCCTATGAAGACGCATGGTCGACATAGCCTACGCGGCTAGGCGAAGAGCTTTGAAAAGCCAAAAAATTGGCTAAGACCCTTAATCGCCCGACCCTTCTCCTGTGAAGACGCGCGGTCGACATAGCTTACGCAGCTAGGCGGAGAGCTTTGAAAAGCCAAAAAATTGACTAAGGTCCTTAACCACCCGATCTTTCTCCCTTGAAGACGTTCGATCGACACAGACTGCGCGGCTAAGGTGGAAAGCCTTAAAAGGCACAAATTGGCCACCGACCACTAAACTCAAGCCTGGCACCCGCCTGATGGATGTCACTCTCCCTTGCTATTAAATGACTAGACGAAGGAAATAATGAGAGAAAAAGCAAGTTAAAAGAACGACACGTTCAACATTGATAAAATTCGATAACAAAGCATTCATACAAAAAAAGAAAGGCATGTAATGTGCTCTTGCCCACACCCCAGGCAAGTAGGAAATGATACTACTAGAGAAAATAAAGGACGACAAAATAAGGGGGGAACTAATAAATTGTACTATTGCTAAGCAACGCCTCAACTCGAGGGGGAAGCATCCCTACTGCCGCCCCGTGGTGGATGCCCAAGTGACCTGGATGGCTGTGTCCTACTCTCCTTCCCCTTGCGCTGCGTAAGGAACTTATTAAAACCTGAGGGGTCAATAGAAGAATGCTCGGCCAATATCCACTCCTTAGTTAGCTTGATGGACGCCGCCATCGCCTTTCTTCCATATGAATGCAAGACCCTGGCATAATCAGACGACGACTTATACTGCTCCAAGGATGCCTCTAAATCCTTAACATATTCAGTAGAGGCCTTATTCCCCTCGACCACCTTCTTTAGAGCTAGGGCCAACTCAAACCGCAAATTGTCATTCTCTATCTCCTGCTCGCAGGCTCGAGCCTCTGACGCCTCCAGAGATTTATTCAAGGTAGATATCTTTTTCTTGTAATGATGGACCTCTTTCTTGCTTTCTTCTACATGAGTCTTCCGCTCTAAGGCTTGGCGACGACTCAACTCAGCGAGCCCAATCTGGAGGGCCACTACCTAGGGAATGGAGGGATAATGTAAAAGTCGAATGTTAGAACCATCCCCAAAAAATAAGATTTAACGTAAAAGAAATACGGGGCTAGAAGCATACCCTCTGGAGATAGACTACTGCAGCCCTCTCAATATCGTCCGCGCTACGTCCCACAATCGCTCTGGACCGAGCGGGTGTCACCAAAGACTTAAGCACCCCCATCTCATGATAGCCTTGGGTGGGGGGAAACCCAAAATTTAGAAGTGAATCATCACGCTTGCATCGCATACTGCTGGAGGTGCCTAGCCTAGGAGCTGGGATAACCTCGATAGGCTCGTCTGAAGGTTGGGGGGTCTCTTTGGCCACCTGAGACCTCCCTCCATGGTCAGCTATCTTCTTCCTTTTTAAGGGGATGCGGGATGGATCAACATCACTCCTACGCCCCTAGTCAGGCACGAAATCCATCGTCCCTTCAAAATCAAACTCTATCCCTGTGCATGTGAAATACAGTTCGTTAAGTTTACAAAAAATGATAATACGTGAGAATATGAAATAAGAAAAAGGGGGATCGTAAGAGCTTACCATCAATGGGGGCAGAGCCCTCGTCGCTACCCGGCAACGTCTTCAGCACCTCGTCAAGGTTAAAATCCATATCTACATGCAAATACCTAAGCTCATTAGCCCAAACAAAAAAATATAAGCAAGCGAGCCAATAGAAACAACTTACCTGTAGGACGACTCATCCCAACTATTAACATGTTCCTCATAGTCAAGACCGATCCTAAGTCAAGTGCGAGAGGGGGCATCTCAACTAACTCCTGGATTTGTGTTTTTAGAAGAGAAGTAATTTTCACTTGGCTATTGAAAAGGTGAATCTGAGGATGCCGCCAATTGGTATTGAAAAGGATCTAACCCACTGAAGGCCGAGCAAAGAAAAATCAGGATTTCCACCTATTGTTCGAATTTCTAAACTTGGGAAAGAGCAAAGGGATCCTAGTAGTGTAAAAGACAAACGCATTGCACTGGGCTAGTTCTTGCATCTCAAAGACATACTTGAAAAGGTCTATGGAAAGTGGAATTCTCCTCTTGAGGCAAAAATACAAGAAATACAACGCCTTCCTCTAAGCATTGGGGTTTATTTGACTAGGGGTAAGGTGAAACTCATCAAAAATTGTCACCAAGAAATGATGAATGGAGAACCAAAAAACCACCATCCATAATGTCCTTGTACATGGCCACCTCGTGCGGGTTGGACTCGGGGAGTGTTTCCTTGGGACCTGGGGCTCTATAGACATAATCGTCGACCCTATCGTACCTACCGAGGCATTTTTCCAGCTTAAGTGGAAAATTATAGAGACTATAACTTTTTGGGATCTCGAGGAGAACAACCTCACCAGCTGGATTCCACCCGATTTCTAAGTTCTTGTTTGGAGATTAGTAGAACTAAGATGTCTCTTAGGTGAACTTGTAATAAAAGCCCGATAATAAATTGAAAGGGTTCGACCATCAGAGTCACAGGGAAACTCGTGGGAAGAGGGAAAGAGGCCATAGACGGACTAGGCAGTGGGGGGCCGGTCGATCGACCAACAGGCTGGTCGCCTGACTAGCAAGGCCACTCGAGCCACCAGCCTTGCTGGTCCACAGCGGGTCGATCAACCGGCCAGCCAGATTTCTCACGGCACTGACCGACCCCTCGTCACTACTTTCATTGGAAGAGGAAGAAAAGATTTTCTTGTACTTAATTCTATCAAAAATAAAAGGAAAAGAAAAGAGGGGGAAAGAAAGTTACATTGGAGGAGAAAAACTAAGGTGTTGGGAAGGAGTAAAAATGAGGCACATGTGTGGGACAATCCCCTTTTTATGAGCAGGGAAGTTCAAAATTTTGAGGGGAAATTTCCCTCCAAGTGAGGACCCATTAGTTGGATGCCAAGTGTACAGTAAGATACCTGAGCAGCTTTAAATTATGTTGTTTGACTTACTTAGGCGAATAACTATAATAATAAAAAATAAATAAAAAATAAAGAAGGGAAAAGAAAAGAGAGACCGATGAGGGAAATCGATACCCCTTGCTGAAAAATATCGACAAGGGACAGGGGTGCTAATGATATATGCTGGCCCAGAAACCCACCCCTGGTAATAGATGAGATAGGTCGCTACAAGCAAATGCAAGGCCATCGACCCCCAGGGGGCTCTCTACCTCCCTGCAAGGCTGTCGACCCCTGGGGCTCTCTACCTCTATGCAAGACTGTCAACCACGTCCACCAACATGGAATTACCTATATGGTTATTCCGACAGCCAGCCATGCAAATATCTAATAAATTGGCGAAATCCCATAGCGGTTATCACAAGCACGACTTCCAAGCGGGAAGTTAAAGGCCCCCCACTCAGAATGTGGGAAGTGGAAAAGCTAACGTGGGACACGTGGCATAACGACCACCCAACACTCACCTGGCTTCCGACTCCTATAAATACAACCTAAGGAGGCATAGGTATGGGATTGGACATTTTTTTCTTTCAGTCATCTAATTTCAGTATACATTTCTCCCAACATATACTGATTATCACACCAGAGGTAAAAAGGAGAAGAAAGCCCCGCCCTTACTTTTCAGGTTGCATAAGCCCGTCGGAGTAGTGGAAATGCTAAACGCCACCCAGCAGATCAAGAGGCATCATTCTACTACCATTTCAGAAGGGATTGAAGTGGACACTGCGATTTTTGTGAAGTTTGACGTATTTGTGAACGACGAAGATGATGATCCAAATATATTAGACAAGGAAGAGTATGCAGGATGCTTCTTGCGGGTGCCCCATAAGAATTCGATCCTGGCGAAGACTAAGATTAGATTGGGATTAAGTGAACTGTTGGAGGATTTGGATGTTGAAGATGATGAAAAAACATTGGTTTCTTTGGTACCAAAAGCTGGAGGAGATAACATCACCATTGGTGATATCAAAATTATCTATGCTTCTTGAGTGCATGTTTAATGGTCAATAACAATCTTGAGCTATTTTAGTATTAGATTTCGAGTGTACTGTTCATATTTTACGATTATAAGAGCTCGATCAATTCGGGGTTAAGTTTTAAAGATTCATTTGAACGTATTAGTTGTTGCCTACTGCAACTTTTTGCTTCTTGTATCCTTTCAACCGTATATTATATATTATATTCTGTGAGGTCAACGACCGTTCCCTACTTTCAAATCACCGATTTTTCGAAAAAATCATTTTTCACTTGGAAAAATCTCTGTCTCATATTTAAGTTAGAAACTGAAGTCGAGTAGAGAATAAAAATTTATAGAGTCAAGCGGTGCATGGTGATTGATATGTCCCGCAACAAGCGTAATCCTCGTATATAGTTGACGTTCTTAGATTTATTTATTTTTTCGCATAATATTGTGAAACAGTTAAACTAGAAAACATGGAGTTTCCATTCTAAAAGATGGCAGACAAAGCACGAATTTCAATACTTTGTTTCGTTCTCTGCAATTTCAGCCGACAATATGTAAGTAAATACTAAATGAGATAATTTGAGAAATATTAAAAATGTTATAGTTTATGGGAGGTTAACTTTAATGGTGCGACATTATTGAAAGATGGGAAAAAAGAATATAATAGTTCACTTACATTTTGTCATGTCAGCTTCGATATAAGTTCTGTTAAATTTTTTCTGTACATATGATTTTATTGTATTTTATATATGTTGGAAATAATACTGTGATTGAGGATATTACTCCTTAATCACAATCTTCCCATAGCATGCCAATGCCAATCACGTAATTAAAGGAGGCTAATTTACACGGTTTCCATTTCATTGTAAATTATTGATTTGTATTCCATTTATACTATCTTGTAAAGCTCTATATAATACAATATGATACACCACTGAAATTAAGGTGGATTTTAATCATTCTTATGGTATCAGAGTCAAGTGGTTTAACATACCTTCCACATATCCTGTTCTTCTTCTTCCCTTCATGGCTTCTAAAACTCTGCCACCATTCTTCCTTTCAATACCTTAATCTACATGATCACCATTAAACTTTCCTCCTCAAATTATCTTCTCTGGAAAGCCCAACTCTTCCCTCTTCTTGAAAATCAAGAATTATTAGGACATGTTTATAGCAACCTTGTGCAGCCCCCAAAACTTGACGCTACCACTTCTCTCACGCCAAGTGACAAATACCTAGCATGGAAAGCTATTGATCGGCGTCTCCTCAATTTATTATTTTCCTCCCTCACAGAGGAAGCCATGGCTGAGGTAGTTGGCCTCTCCACCGCACAAGACGTGTGGCTGGCACTAGAAAATGCATTTAGCCATCGTTCTAAAGCTCGAGAACTACGCCTTAAGGATGACTTGCAATTAATGAAACATGGAAATAGATCAGTTGTTGAGTATGCCCATTCCTTCAGAGCAATTTGTGATCAACTACATGCAATTGGTTGTCCAGTTGATGGTACTGACAAGGTGCACTGGTTTCTCCGCGGGCTCGGCACTGATTTCTCTAGTTTCTCCACAGCACAAATGGCCTAAACTTTTTTGCCCTCATTTGCAGATTTAGTCTCAAAGGCCGAAAGTTTTGAAATTTTTCAGAAATCCCTTGACTCATCTTCTCCAGCAGCGACAGCCTTTACTGTCACAAAAAATTCCACCCATTGTGGTAGCTCTTCTCGTAGTCATTGGGGTCGCTTCGGTGGGCGTGGCAGCAGTTCATCTGGTCGTGGACAAGGACGCTCCAACTACAGCCAATGGCGTCGTCCACCAAGATGCCAGTTTTGTAGGATGGATGGCCACTTTGTCGATCGGTGCCTTCAACGCTATGATCGGAATGAGACGCCAGCTCACCTTACTGAAGCCTTCACGAGATCTTGTTCTCTAAATGATGATGTGGGCTCTGACTGGTATTTGGATACAGGGGCTTCAGCCCATATGACCATGGATCACTCTAAATTGGATCAGGCCACAAATTATATGGGTAAGGATTGTGTGGTTGTTGGGAATGGTGCCTCACTACCCATTACCCATACTGGTAAAATTTCCCCTACCCCAAATCTACATCTTCTTGATGTCCTAGCTGTACCTCGCCTTACCAAGAATTTACTTTCCATCAGTAAATTAACATCAGATTTTCCTTTATCCATTACCTTTACTAATAACATATTCACTGTACAGAATCGCAAAACAGGAAGGGTGGTGGCAACCGACAAGCGTGATGGAGGCTTATATGTGCTTGAGCGAAGTCATTCTACTTTTATTTCTATTCTTAAAAATAAATTGCTTCGTGCGTCCTATGATTTATGGCATGCACGACTTGGACATGTCAATCATTCTGTTATTTCTCTATTGAATAAAAAAGGCCAGCTTTATCTTACATTTTTGTTGCCTTCTCCAACTTTATGTGGCACATGTCAAATTGCTAAAAGTCATCGCTTGTCTTATTCTCGAAATGAACATAGGTCATCGAAAACACTTGATCTTATCTATTGCAACATTTGGGGTCCATCTCCAGTCAAATCTAATTTACGATTTGTCTATTATGTCATTTTTATCGATGACTATTCTCGTTTCACGTGGCTCTATCCTTAAAAATTGAAATCTGACTTTTATAATGTTTTTATTCAATTTCAAAAATTTGTGGAAAATCAATACTCCACTCGAATTAAAATTTTCCAAAGTGACGGCGGTGGTGAATTTACCAGTAATTTCTTCCAAGATCATCTCCGCTCTAGTCGCATTCACCATCAGCTCTCATGTCCATACACACCCGCCCAAAATGGTCGTACTGAAAGAAAACATCGCCATGTAACTGAGATGGGATTAGCACTCCTTTTTCACTGCCACATTTCTCCTCGCTTTTGGGTTGACGCGTTCAGCACTGCAGCTTACATCATCAATCGCTTGCCTACACTACTCCTTGGAGGTAAATCACCTTTTAAGATTTTGTATGGTAACCCTCCGAACTATGAAAACTTTCACCCTTTTGGTTGTCATGTGTATCCTTACTTACGAGATTATATGCCTAACAAATTTTCTCCTCACAGCATCCCATGTATTTTCTTAGGTTACAGTCCCTCTCACAAAGGGTTTCGTTGCCTCGAGCCTTCCACCTCTAGGCTCTATATTACTCGCCATGCTCAATTTGATGAAACTCATTTTCCTTCCATTGCTACCTCTCAAGCTCAACCCATATCCTCCCTTAACTTTTCCAATTTTCTGGAACCTAGCCTCACCCATGCAGATCCACCTCTCCCACTCCCTGACACTCGTTCTTCACAACTCACTCAATCCAGTTCTAATCCATGTATTATGTGTACTGATCCAGTGATTGAGTCTTTGCAGGATCCTCATTCTCTTGCAGTTGCCTCTTTACAGACCTCGGTTCCAAGTTCATCTCCTCTTGAACCTGGTACAGATCCCACACCTACTGCAATGGTCCCGTTGGCCACTCATCCTATGCTTACAAGAGCTAAAGCTGGCATTTTCAAGACTCGATATCCATCCAATCTTAGTTTCTTGGGCTCTTCTGGTCTTCTTTCTGCTCTTTTTGCATCGACTGAGCCCAAAGGTTTCAAATCTGCTGTTAAAAATCCTGCTTGACTTGCTGCCATGGATGAAGAAATTCATGCATTACAGAATAATCGCACCTGGATTTGGTACCTCGCCCTGCCAACACCAACATTGTGGGCTCCAAATGGGTATTCCGAACCAATTACTTACCTGATGGATCTGTTGAGCGCCTTAAAGCCCGCCTTGTTGCCAAAGGTTATACACAGGTCCCTGGTCTTGACTATACTGATACTTTTGGTCCCGTAATCAAGGCTACTACTGTTCGGGTTGTACTCTCTCTCGCTGTTACACAAAAATGGCCCCTTCATCAACTTGATGTCAAAAATGCATTCCTCAATGGCACTCTTACTGATCAAGTTTATATGGAACAGCCTCCAGGATATATTGATCCGCTTTCGAGACCATGTTTGTCAGTTGAAGAAAGCTCTTTATGGTCTCAAACAAGCCCCTCGTGTTTGGTTTCAGCGCTTCAGCTCCTTTATTATTTGCCTTGGGTTTTTTTGCAGCCGTGCGGACACATCTCTATTTGTCTTTCATCAGAAGTCCGATATTATCTATTTACTTCTTTATGTTGATGATATCATTATTACAGGCAACAATTCTTCACTTCTTGCCCGCTTCACTCGTACACTTAACTCTGAGTTTGCTAAGACTTAGGCTCTCTCAACTATTTTCTTGGTCTTGAAGCCACTCCAACTTCTGATGGTCTTTTCATCAGTCAGTTCAAATATGCACGGGACATTTTTATTCGAGCTCAATTACTTGACAGTAAACTTGTTCACACGACCATGGTTGTTTCTCAACATCTTTCTGCTGATGGTTCTTTGTTTTCAGACCCTACTCTCTATAGATCCCTCGTCGGTGCACTACAGTACTTGACTATCACAAGGCCCGACATTGCTCATGCTATCAACTCTGTTAGTCAATTCTTACACGCTCCCACTGATGATCACTTTCTGGTTGTTAAACGCATCTTTCACTATGTTAAAGGCACCATTCACTATGGCCTACATTTTCGCCCTTCCACTTCTCCTGGTGCTCTTGTAGCCTATTCTGATGCTGATTGGGCCGACTGCCCAAATACTCTTCGTTCGACCTCTAATTATTCTATCTATCTTGGCGACAATTTAGTTTCCTGGAGTGCCAAGAAACAGCCGACTGTCTCTTGTTCCAGCTGTGAATCTGAGTATCGTGCCCTTGTCTCCACTACCGCTGAACTAATCTGGCTCACACATCTCCTGCATAACCTCAAGGTATCCATGCCTTAGCAGCCCACTCTCTTATGTGACAACAAAAGTGCCATTTTTTTAAGCTCCAATCCGATTTCACACTGTTGACATATAAAAATTCAGCCCAAATCGAACGGCCCAAGGAATGAAGCCCAATTGGAGGATCCCCAAATCAGATAACCCAAAGAACGAAGCCCAATCAAACAATTCAAGATGAAGGCCCAAATAGGGAAGCCCAAGAACGCGGTAACGCCATTGCCCAAGTTTGCAAGTCGCCCAGAATCTGAGCGAATGGAGTGCCATGCAGTCGCCCAGAGCTGTTACTCTATTCTCGCCCAAACCTTCAAGTCGCCCAAGGTCTTAACAAACATAAAGCGTTGTGGTTATCAAGAAGTGCAGTTATCAAAGCAGTTATTAAAGCAGCCCTATCATGTTCCACGATTCAAAGAATTCAATTGAAAACGGTTGAACGACGAAGAGTAATGGCAGCAGTTAAAAAAGACAGTTTTCATGACAAGCTGGCCATTACGAGGAAAGTGGGCAGTTGTAGAATGATCAAGCAGTTTTTAGGCGGTTGATCACAAAAAAGATCATCTATGGAGTATAAAAGGGAGAAAAGACATAGAGCAAAAAACTGAATCAAAAACTCTCGAACAGAGAACATGTAATTTTAATTTCCTTAGTTTAGACTTAAACACTTTTTTCAGTAACTCGTGTGCTTGCGCCCCTTGGAGGTATTTTGTTTTTGATTTCCAATTGTAAAGTCATCGCTAATAAAATAACACCCCTTTTTGGGACTTTGTCTCAAGAGATTTGTCTCTTACAGAATCGTCTGATCCCTTTTAATTGTGAGTGACTAACCCGCGCGAAACAATTTGGCACGCCCAGTGGGACAGTGGTGTTTGGTGTTGAAATTACAAAAGGTGAAACAACATGCCTCCGAGATCCGATAAGGAAGCAGCAAGTCAGGGAAGAGTCGAGTCTGTGATCGAGCGATATGAGGAGCAGCATGCCTCTCCACGAACACATGGACAGAATCAGAACAGTAACAGTCGTTACGAACCAATGACGGAGTTGAGTCCTCGAACCATACGTGCATTACTTGAAGAACTCACACAAGACATTGTTGAACAGGTAAATCTTCGAAGTATTCATAATATGGAAAGATTTACCCAAAATGGGAATGCACACTATGACAACATGGCCAAACAACTAAACACTTTGAACAAAAAAATGAATAAGTTAGTAGGCCAAATATGTCAACCGGTTATACCTCTTTCAAATCACGTTCAAACTAGGATAATTGTGGGACATAATCCTTCAGTCCTAAATCCGAATCAAGGGGTAGAACCACTTTCTGGTCCCTCTACTTCAAACCAAGGGGGTACTGTAGTGCTAAATCAGAACAATGGTAGTGGTACGTCTAACTTGGGGGGTAATCCAAATATAAGAGATAATGTCCTAAACAATGGACAGAATACCCCACGTGTTAATGAGGGAATAGATGTTCAGGCTAATGATAATGGCCCTAATCATGGTAACTTTGTTATCAATTAAGGACCAAACATCAGGCCTCATGCAAATCAACCGGTTAACCAGCCTGTAGGAATTCCATATGATCCCAACGTCATGTTGAGGAATCAGATTATGAAAATCATATAGGATCATATGGCTTTTGGGGTGCGTCCCGTCATTAGGCCGACGTACACAAAGTCATATCCTGATTGGGTAGACCAAGCATATCCATGGCCTAGAGGGTACAAAGTGCCAGAATTCTCACTGTTTACCAGTTTAGGAGAGGTGTCTACTCTAGAACACATAGGGCGATTC